TTGTTGTTGTTATTATTATTGTTGTTGTTGTATGCACCACAAGTATAAAAAGTACAGCTATTAGCCTTAAATGGGACTACAAATTGCCTAAAACTCCACATTAGGACTACACTCCTTTCATTCTCAAAATAGGAGTGATATATGTCTCTTCTTCCTATTATTCTACCCCAACCTAAAATTTATACTATCTCCGTCCCTTAAAACTGTACCAAGTTTGACCGGCACGGAAATTAATTAAGTAAAAACTGTGTGGTTGAGGTTTTTGAGAGGAGCGAGAATTAAATGGAACCACAAATTCTTTACTTAAAAATGAAAGTGGCAAGGTTAGTGGGACATCCAAAAAAAGAAAGTTGGCAAAGTTTTAAGGGACGAAAGGAGTAATAGATTTATTTATTGATACAAACAATCATAGTTTTATTTATATAAAAACATAAAAAATCGTAAAAATATTTACAAGTTAATAACAAAACCGGGAAAAAATATAATAAAATAAAAAATATTTTAATGAATAATCCAACATTTGCATCCCATCTACATTCGTTGGTCCCTGACCGGTTGATGACCAGCTATTCCAGGTTTTTTCATTTTCTTTGCAAATCATTCAACCATAAATCCCACCTTTCACAAATCTTCTTCAAACGATCTCACGTATCAAAGCTTAAATATCAACATGTTTTTTATATATTAAAAATATTCACACATAAGCTACATTAACATGAGAAATTTAATGAACAGTGACGAATTAATTTAAATATTACAATAAATTAATGTAGGGTAAAATAATAAAAATATCTCAAACTTTGAAGGGGTGTGAGGTAAATACTCCAAACTTTCATATGTAATTTAAATACCTTAAACTTTATATAAAATTTTATTTTTGCACCATTATCATGTATTATTTCTTTCAAAAATTTAAATCTTTGGGATTAATTGCATAATTTAAATTAACAAATTAAAAGTGTTGCAGTTATATAGATCGGGGGTAACATTTTTTATTTCGCAATGGAAGTTTAGAATGTTAGTCGTGTCTTCATGAATTCTAAAATATTTTAAATTATGCAATTAACACCATAAATTTACATTTTTTAAAGAAATAATACATGAAATGATGCCAAAATAACTTTTTATATAAAGTTTGAGGTATTTAAATTACATGTACAAGTTTGGGATGTTTACCTCATACCCCTTCAAAATTTGGAGTATTCTAATTTTGCAATTCAGGTAAATCAATCCCACAAGTTTTATTTGCTGGAAATGTTGCACAATAACTTAAGTATCAATTTTTCTGAAAGATATCTCTTTTAGTGTATCATACTAAACCATTCATAAGATAGTCATCTCCTACCTGATTGCGAAGTTCAATCTTGATAATACTTATCCCCGAGATTCGAATTAAGGCTCTTTCAATTGTGGCTGATGCAACTGGTAAGACTAAAGCCAAATCAATTAGTTGATACTCCCTCCGTCTCATTTAATTAGTTAGCCAAATTTGACTTTTCAAGTCAATGTTGTCTAACTTTGACCTATTATTATTTATATAGAGAAAGTATTAATACAATGAAAATGATATTAAATTGTTCTTTGTTAAAAATACTATCATAAAAGTATAAAATTGTTAAATTTTGCATAAATATATTATAGTTTACATAATTGATCAAAATTTACCACCTTTGACTGGAAAAGTCAAAGATGGCTAAGTAAATTGGGACGGATGTAGTCTCTCTCTCTCTCTCTCTGTGTGTGTGTGTATATATATATATATATTGGTTTGGCACTCGATTAAGGCGCTCGACTAGTCCCGCCTAGGCGGTGGCCGGGGGTCCCGATTTTTCTTTAGGCACCCCGACTAATTGGTTTGGCACTTTGGCGTCTAGGTGAGGTAGTCGCCCACCTAGGGCGCCTAGTTTCCCGACCAAAGCGCCTAATCGCCGCCTGGGACGTCTAGATTCTTCGAACAATTTTTCCTTTTTAATTTTATTTTTCTAAGACAAATATGAAGAAAGGTACTTTTTTTTGGCAAAAGATAACTTAATTAATATGAAAACTGAGAACCAGATACAACTTCGCCATCATAAAGGCTCCACTGGGGTGAGAAACGGAGTTGGAATCGCGCTTACTAGCGGACCATCTCGCTAACCCCGCAATTTGGTAGACTTCATGCATAGCAATGTTGCACCTGCTGCTAAAAGAGAATTTAGAAAACATAAAAGAGTTCTGAAAAAGTAAACAATCAAAGAAGGAACATAATCCAGTTTTTCCAGCCACTGTCAAGGAAACAGCGATTTGACCAGACCAGACCAATTTATGCAAGGGAATAGTGATTTGACCATACCAAACCAGACGAGAGTACTACCCATTTGGCCATTCTAATTTATGTGATTCTGCTAGGCGTTAGTCTCCTTATTATTAATTTGCAAACTAGGTAACAAAGTGCCAAACCAAACTAGGCGGGCTACTACCTCACCTAGGCGCCAAAGTGCCAAACCAATTAGTCGGGGTGCCTAAAGAAAAATCGGGATGCCCGGCCACCGCCTAGGCGGGGACTAATCGAGCGCCTTAATCGAGTGCCAAACCAATATATATATATATATATATATATATATATAGAGAGAGAGAGAGAGAGAGAGACTACATTCGTCCCAATTTACTTAGCCATCTTTGACTTTTCCAGTCAAAGGTGGTAAATTTTGACCAATTATGTAAACTATAATATATTTATGCAAAATTTAATAATTTTATACTTTTATGATAGTATTTTTAACAAAGAACAATTTAATATCATTTTCATAGTATTAATACTTTCTCTATATAAACATATAATAGGTCAAAGTTAGACAACATTGACTTGAAAAGTCAAATTTGGCTAACTAATTAAATGAGACGGAGGAAGTATCAACTAATTGATTTGGCTTTAGTCTTACCAGTTGCATCGGCCACAATTGAAAGAGCCTTAATTCGAATCTCTGGGATAAATATTATCAAGATTGAACTTCTCAATCAGGTAGGAGATGACTATCTTATGAATGGTTTAGTATGATACACTAAAAGAGACATCTTTCAGAAAAATTGATACTTAAGTTATTGTACAACATTTCCATCAAATAAAACTTGTGGGATTGATTTACCTGAATTGCAAAAATACCCCAAATTTTGAAGGGGTATGAGGTAAACATCCCAAACTTGTACATGTAATTTAAATACCTCAAACTTTATATAAAAAGTTATTTTGGCATCATTGCATGTATTATTTATTTAAAAAATGTAAATTTATGGTGAATCGCATAATTTAAAATATTTTAGAATTCACGAAGACACAACTAACATTCTAAACTTCCATTGCGAAATAAAAAATGTTACCCCCGATCTTTATAACTGCAACACTTTTAATTTGTTAATTTAAATTATGCAATTAATCCCAAAGATTTAAATTTTTGAAAGAAATAATACATGACAATGGTGCAAAGATAAATTTTATATAAAGTTTAAGGTATTTAAATTACATATGCAAGTTTGGAGTGTTTACCTCACACCCCTTCAAAGTTTGGGATATTTTTATTATTTTACCCTACATTAATTTATGGTAATATTTAAATTAATTTGTTACTGTTCATTAAATTTCTCATGTTAATGTAGCTTATGTGTGAATATTTTTAATATATAAAAAACATGTTGATATTTAAGCTTTGATGCGTGGGACCGTTTGAACAAGATTTGTGAAAGGTGTGATTTATGGTTGAATGATTTGCAAAGAAAATGAAAAAACCTGGAATAGCAGGTCATCAACCGGTCAGGGACCAACGAATGAAGATGGGGTGCAAAGGTTGGATTATTCATGAATAACGATAAAGTGGGACCAACGAATGAAGACCGCTAAAAGGTTGAATTGTTAATTTCCATTTTCCCTTGATAAAAATACAATTTATGTGTCTCCGACTAGTCCCCGTCTAGGAGTGGACTCGGGCCGGGCCAACCGGCCCGGAACCGAACCGGACCGCTACTGTGTGGGCCCGGACCGGCCCGGTGAACCGGTTGGTTGCCCGGTTCGGGCCACCCGGCCCGGTGGGATGGCGGTTCGGGCTCGGGCCCTTCAAAAGGTGAACCGGCCCTGCCGGTTCGGGCCCGGGCCGGGCCAATTTCTTATTATTATTTTTTTTGAATTTTTTTTAAGTTTTTGGGTTGGGCTGGGTCTTTTGGGCAATTTGAGGTGGTTAGGGTTGGTTTGGGGGTGAGGGGGAGGGTTGGGGGTTAACTAGGAAAAGCCAAAAAAAAATAGAACCGAGGTCCGGTCGGCCCGGACCCGGGGTTACCCGGGCCAGTTCCGGGCCAGTTCCGGGCCTCCCCCTTCATGAACCGAGGCCCGAACCGGGCCTGAACCGGAACCGGTCCATCCCTATCCCCGTCTAGGCGTCTGCCTAGCTGCCTAGGCGTTAGGCATTGTATTGGCGCCCGACTAGCGCCTAACGCCTTTTTGAACATTAATTAGAACTGCTTTTTTCTGTCGTTGGTCCAGACATGCATATGTTTCAAAATGATCCCTATTGACTGATGACCCGTTCAATATTAACTACAACAAATGACATTGTGGATATCATTAATTCATTAATGATGGCGAGGTTCCCGGGGAACCACACACATTTATCAGTCATGATGTCCTTGTGGATTCAAAGTCTGTGCACCATGAGGATTACATACATACTTTGACCCCTTCAGGCCTACCACCCTATAAACAGACGTTGAAACACAACTGTCCGATTACGCTGATTCGCAATCTTAATTCGTGTGAAGGATTATGTAATGGGACACAGTTGTCGGTTGATATGTGATTCATTTGGTAACCACACCCTAAGTTGTTTTACCGCTTATGGTGAACACAAGGGCAAGCTTGTGTTTGTACCTAAAATCCCTCTAGTACTCTCTAAGGATGAATGTTGCGATGTATCATTTAGGATGACACAATTCCAGTCAAGATTTGCTTTGCGATGACAACTAACAAGTCACAAGGGCAGACCATGGATTTTGTAGGTATCTATTGAAAAGAACTTGTTTTCCCGCATGGCCAACTTTATGTAGCTATGTTGAGGGCAAGAAATGTGGATTCCATTAAAATAGTGATCTGTCCTGAAATTTCAGGTTCTGTGATACCTATCACCACATGCAATGTGGTATATCCGGAAATTTTGCCTTATATTTCTTAGAAATAGAAGGTAAGTATGGTCTATATTGTTTTTTATGGATTATATGTTGCTTTGTTTCACCTGTGTTTATACTTTTTTTCTATTCCATCTTGACCGGCTGCAGTCGTTGCGATGGGTGATGAACTTTTCATCTTTGATTTGAAATGGGAAACAAGACCATGGACATGCCGCCTCACTGTAGTCGAAAAACAAAACATTCACACCGTAAGATTTTCGCCCATGAAATTAATGTCATTTGTTCTCATGGATGTTGTTGTGAGTACTTAGTTTTTCTTTAAATACAAGGTGTTACTTTTCTGATGGCGATAACAACTCCTGACTTCCCGGTTTGTTTGAGTTGTTGCGAATCACAAGGTACTAGGGTGCAGGCTACCGCATTTCAGGGTGACATTGAAGGGATTGATCAACGGCTTGAACTGCACTCTACCTACCAGATATCTAATGCCTATGTTAAGACGATAATTGACCTGAAGTTGTGTGTTGATGACAAGTATCCATACCTTTGGTCTTTCAAGAGACGCACATTTATCAAGGACGTTAAACCTGAAGGTCAAATCGATTATCATCACCTGGCTCAGGAGGGTATTACACCCTTTGCGGCTTTCTTTGACGCATACGTGCATGACTCTCGCATCAGTACACTTTTTCGCTGTCCTTGAATGTCTGTGATTTTATTGCGGAGTCTCATCAATAATGTGCATTTTTCATTTTGTAGGTGCGCATGCTATCATGTGCCTTGTACGTGCCAACATTAATTGCCAAAATCGATGCCAAGTTGGTTTGTTGTTAATTCCTATTCATATTTCATATTAATATTTTAACATTACTTAAAGGATCAACTAGTTTTGTTTCATATATTAATTATTACTAGAATCAATCGATTAATGCGCTTGTTATTAACTCGGTTCTTTCAACAGTAGTAAACTTGGATTATTAATCCATGCGTCTCATGATTAATAATCTATGGGGAATTAATTATATTGATTAAACCAATAAACCGCTTGTGTTGAGGTTATCAATCTCAATCGTTTTCATCTTAATTTTATTGCTACTATCGAGTTAATATATGGCGCGTGTTCTATATTGACTCGGTAGTAAGTTTTATTAATGAACGCATCTCGTTATTAATAACTAACCTCGATGAATTGGATATACTTCTCGATTGAGTATTCGAGAGGAAGATAGTTAAAGATATAACCGGGATCGACGTGCATTTCATTAAGTGGATAAAAGCAAAATCAAGCCTTCATCTCTAATTAATTAAACCACATAAGTAGTTCAACTTAGTGTTTAAATATACTTCAAGTTCAACAACAATCAAAACCCCCCATTTGTTACTAGTATTTAATTAAAAAGAAAAGTATTCCTTTCCCTGTGGATACGAACCTTACTACACTAAACTACGTATAAGTGTTGTATTGTATTTATTTTGAGTGCACACCACGACAAAGTGCACGTCAAATTTGGCGCCGTTGTCGGGGAATAGCAATCATTTTTCTTTTTGTTCAAGAAAAAAATATAAAAAAAAAACAATAAAACAAAATATAAAGAGTCATTACTTTTCTATTGCTGAGCTTTGTAGTATATGGTTAAATATCGTTCACTAAATGAAATCACCTATCAAGCAAACCCATAAATAGAGAGATCTTTCGAGCGGTGGAAAGTTAAATTCTCAAGCTCCGACTCGGGAGAATCATCAAGTGCTAGTTCTCATTCTAGCAAGATCGAAGAGCCAATAACTATGGCTCTTGAGACGAGAACATTGAGGGAGCTAACGGCTCCTAATCTTAATCAACAACCCCCAAGTATCACCTTTCCAACTCTTGATACGGGGGTCACATTCGAGCTAAAATCTGGGCTCAATCATCTATTCCCCGCTTTTCATGGCCTACGAGGGGAAGATCCGAACAAACACCTGTCGGAGTTCCATATTGTGTGCACAAGCATGTGCCCAATGGCGTCTCGGAGGAGGAAATCAAGTTGATAGCTTTCCCATTTTCCCTGTAGGACACCGCAAAGGACTGGCTATTCTATCTTCCTTTAGGAAGTATCACTACATGGGCACAAATGAAAAAATGCTTCTTGGATAGGTACTATCCCGCCTCCATCTCATCTTTTTTGAAAAAACAAATAAGCAACATTGATCAGAAAGAAGATGAGACATTGTATGAATATTGGGAGCGTTTCAAAAAGTTGTGTGCTAGTTGCCCATATCATGGGTACACCGAGCAAGACCTCGTCTTCTATCTTTATGATGGTCTTGCGGATCATGATCACCGCATGGTGAATGCGGCATGTGGAGGGGGTATTGTCAACAAAACCCCTTCTCAAGCAAGAGACCTCATCTCGGAGTTGGCCGAGAACTCTGGAAACTACAACGAGAGGTCCTCTACCCGTAGAGTTGCCGCTGCGGAATCAACATCATCATTAGCAAGTCAAGTCGCCGGCTTGACCTCTTTGGTTAAGGACTTTCTTTTAAAATCAAAGACCCAAGAAGTCAAGGTTTGTGGCATTTGCACATCAACCGGACACCCCATTGATTCGTGTCCGTCCCTCCAAGAAGAACAAGTCAACGCCTTGGGTTTCCAAGGCCATCAACAAAGGAGGTATGATCTATTCTCAAATTCTTACAACCCTGGATTGAGGGATCATCCAAACTTGAGGTATGGAAACCCTCAACAATCCAACCCATCTTCTCAATCTAGTATGTCAACTGATGACATGATCCAGACTTTGACCTCAAACATGGTTACCATGCAACAAAACATGGGACAATTTCAACAAACCATGATACAATTTCAACATGAAAAAAAGTCAAGCATTAACAATTTGGAAACTCAAGTTAGCCAAATTGCAAATGTCGTGAACCGACTTGAAGCGAAGGACTCGGTAAACTTCCATCTCAATCGGAGCAAAACCCGAGACAACATGTGAATATCATCATGTTGAGAAGTGGGGCGACATTAAAAGAGGTAGAAAAGAATGATCGAGAGATTGAGGAGGTGGACCCTGAAGAAGAAGCTCAGTCGGAGGAGGGGATCACAAAAGCCAAGCTCCCTCTACTTTCATCATATGAACCAGTAGCCCCGTTTCCTGAGGCGCTGAGGGAGACAAGGAAGCCGGAGAAAGGTGCTGACATCTATGAAACTTTCGCCAAGTGTCAAGTAAATATTCCGCTTCTTAACTTAATGAAAAATGTCCCCCGTTTTGCTAAATTTTTAAAAGAATTATGCAAAACAAAAAGGAAAGATAAATCGAAGGGGAAATAAGAGGTTAAAGTTTGGGAACATGTCTCGGCTATTTTTCAAAGAAAACTCCCCGAAAAATGTAGTGACCCGGGCATGTTCACCATCTCTTGTAAAATAGGGGACACTACATTTCCTAGGGCCTTGTTGGATTTAGGGGCATCAATATATGTCATCCCCTATTCTGTTTATAAATCTTTACAACTTGACCCACTACATCAAACCGGTGTTGTGATTCAACTGGCGGATCATTCTAGTACTTACCCGCAGGGTGTAATAGAACATGTGCTAGTAGAAGTAGAAAATATGGTTTTCCCTGTTGACTTCTATATCCTTGAAATGGGAAATGATGACCAAACAACACCCATCCTGTTGGGTAGACCCTTCGTGAAACCCACAAAAACGAAAATTGATGTGTCAAGTGGTTCATTAACTTTAGAGTTCGATGACCAAAAAGTAGAGTTTAACATCTTTGACTCTACGAAAAAACAAATTAAAGATCTATCTCTTTGTTCTTTAAATGTTTTTGAACCAAAAGAACCGAAATTTTTGAAAGAGTCTGATAAAATCCCAATTTTTCTAGAAGAAGAAAATATTAAACATGAGAAATCATCTTTGATAGAAAGGGAGGTGTTGAAATGTGAACTAAGTCCACCAATGATTGAGGTGCTAATGAGGAAGAAATTCCGGCCTTACTGGAAAAGGCCGAAAAATAAAATTGAAACATGACCAAACAGGGCCTTAAAGAAGGAAAAAAGGGATGTTCATGATCCCACTTAATTAAGAAAATAAAATAAAAATAATGTCGTGCCGTGACGTTAAATAAGGCGCTTCTTGGGAGGCAACCCAAGTTTTGTTTCTCATTATTTCAAGTGTTTAAATTTCATGTTTCATAATTGCTTGAGAGATCAGTGAGAGAAGGAACTAACAGTAAAAAAAAGTTCCAGGGCCATGTACCCGGTCGGGTAACACTACCCACTCGATCGGGTATAACTAAAAAAGGCAGGGTCATCGGATCGAATACCCTATACTCGACCGAGCCTAAGTTCAAAATTCACCATGATACCCGACCGGGTATATTTTATTACTCGATCGGGTATATTTTGGACAAAAATACGGCAAAGAAAAACCGATCGAGTATGTCCCATACTTGATCGGGTACAAAACCCTGGAACCATTTTTGAAATTCCGACTTTATACCCGATCGGGTATATTAACTTACTCGATCGAGTATATTTCAAAGAAAACTATGACGGATATTACCTGATCGAATACACTTTTATAACTGATCGGAAAAAAAAGGAGACATACCAGATCGGGCACATCTCTACACCTGATCGGGTATTGCTGGAAAAGCCAAACTCAGTGCCTCAAAAACCCATCCGAGTATTTCGAAAACCCGACCGGGTAAACCAGCGAAAATAGAACAAAACACCCATACCTGATTGGGTATGTCGGGGTACCCGATCGGGTACACCTGCGATTTAACCCATTTACACGACAAACCCACTCATCTTCCCCAAATTTCTTTTCCAAATTTCGAACTCCCCTCTTCGAGACTCCATTTTTACACCTTCTCTCTACCATATATCCCTCAAATCTCCACCAAATCCTCCCATTCCACCACCAAAATACTCCCCTCACTCCCCTCTACATTATCATACCAATTAATCCCACTTTCCCCTCATATCTCAAAAGTCCGAAAAAAACCCTATCTCATTACCCAAGTCCCAATTTTTCAAGATTGAACAAGCATTCCATGGCTCCAAGGAAGGAAAGGGTAGAGAGGTCCAATGCTAGAGAACCTATTCCGGATTTCGAGGATGTCCGTGTCACCAACAATGCACACCGGGCAAAATTTCTCACCTCCATTGCAAGGCAAGTACACCCCCTCGATTTTTGTGTCATGAAGCTCTACGTGAATTAGGTATATTTAAGAGCATGAGGAGGTTCTTTCGTGAGTTGGATATGAAATTGATTTTTGCGTTAAAATACAACTCAAATGAGAGGGTGATTTATGAATTTGTGAGCTCGGCAATATTTGAACAAAATGAGTATGATTTTAGGGACGACAAACTTAAGTTTCACTCGTTTAACACTGAATATTCAATCACGAAACTTGAATTTTCCGAACACTTTGGCCTCCCCGTCCCTCGTGAAAAAGAAATCCCGGAAAACACCATAGATGGTCATACTCTTTGGACCAAAATAACTGGAGAACAAGTCTTTAGCTCATCTAAACTGAGCGTTAGACACGTGCAACATCCTATTCTCTGGATATTTTTGAAGTTTTTGTCCAATTGCATATTTGGACGCCCCAACAATCATCACACTAGAATGGGGGATGTATGTATGATGACTATGGCTTTGTTTGACAACCCCGTGGAGTTCAACATGTGCAACTTGATTTGGGAACATTTGAAGAAGAGGTGCAATGCCAAGGGCAAAATTGTAGTGGGAGGGGTGATTATGCATTTAGCAACAAAATTTGGCTATGTGGATCATAACCCTATAGCCGAATAT